GTCTGAATGAGCCAAAACTGCTCGCCGGGGAAGTACACGCGCAACCTGCAGACACACACACACACACACACACACACACACACACACACACACACACACACACACACACACACACACACACACACACACACACAGGCACATTAAAACACATTCACAAATGCACACTTGCACACTAACTCGCCAAAACTCATTTGAACTACAGCACCTCCATTAATCTCAGGTGAACAAGGTAGTAAAAACAGTAAAACACCACAATGGGCCAATTATACTAAATATTCAACCATATGTTATAATTGGTCAGTTGACCATTTGCTAAGCCCCACCCCCTTAGTTACTGTTGCTACACATTTTAGCTTGTGATTATGTCCTGCAAGGTAAAGTTAGCGCCAGTGTTATAGTTTTGTTAGTATTGTAAGGAAAACTGTTAAATCAAAGAGTAATTTCTTTCTACCAAGCCCATTTAGATTTCAGTTCAATGGAAAAACATATTTATTGTTAGTTTTCTCAAACAATTTGAGGATGACGACAACTGATGAGTCTGGAAAAAGAATCTCTGAATAATTACAATTAAATAAAAAGCACCACTAATTGCCCAAAAGTCTGCTACAGTAAACATGTGTTCACCTGTTTTTTATGACGTAATGTAGTTAGCTAATGTTATTCTACCCTTCGTGTTGTTAGTACCTGTAGGTTAACTGTAGGTTAATGCTAACGTTTGCACTTTATGTTTGCACAGAGACACACAGTTTAATCAATTTCTTTGGTCTGGTTTTGAAAAAGGTGGAAAAAACCTGACCAACCACACTGTTTGCATACTGAGTAATATTCCTAATAGTGCTCAATGCACTCCACTTCGGCATGTTGGGAAATCCAAAGTTTAACAGAAGTGCTTGGATGAGTTGCTCAACGTTCACGGTTCGCAGGAGGGGTTTGGGTAACAGTCAACTGGCAATCAGTAGTGTCTTAAAAAAAATCACATGATGGACAAACAAATAAATCAACAAGTGAACAGATTCTCCCTCCACTGATATCATCAAATAAATGGAGGGAAGAGGAAAGGAGTGGTTGTCCAAGTCGGGTATTCCCTGTGTGTGTTCACGTGCACGCCACCCATTATGGACCACAGCAGCTTCCTGCTGACCACACACGGACACTTTAACTCCTAATAAACTATTGTGACGATGTCTTTATTTCCTGCAACATTGTTTCAAGCTGTTAGTAAGTCAAAATATAATGAAGAATTACCATACAGTGTTTTTTTTACTAAAGCAAACAATAGCAGTTGAAGCACTTTGTTGTAAATGATCTGAATGACCTCAGTGACAGCAGAGATAATTCTGTTCCAAGATGATGATAAATATAAGGAAAGTTATTACTAGATGCACGCAATGTTGGTAGCACTTCCACCATATATTCACTTCAAAACAAGAAGAGTAACAACTAGTTCAGTCTTTACAGGAGGTTTAGGATTTCTACACAGGAGTGATTATGTAGCCATATGGCACCATCTAGTGACCTTTTATTTTAATCACATTTATCCTCACAAAGGTCATGCTCTTTAGATCTAGATACAGATTTTACTGTCTGTGTGATTTACTAAAATATGTTTTTCTACCTTTATTGCTTCTCACATGAAATTTCAAGGGAAAATACAGGTTAAGGAGTTGAACATAAAAAATGACACAGTCTGTCAGAAATTAATAGTTAGTAAGTTATTTATCTTGAAGAGTGTTTTCAGGTAATCAACTTGTATCAACTTGTGAACTGGATGTGAACTTAAAAATAACGTATGCCCCTAAACGACAATGTTAGGCGTGAAGAGAAATGACAGAGGGCGGCTGTGGCTCAGAGGAAGAGTGGGTCGTCCACTAATTGCTCCCAATGCTGTGCATCACTGAAAGTGTAAAAGCGCTTTGAGTGGTCAGGAGACTAGAAAGGCGCTATACAAGTACAGGTCCATTTACCATTTACAGAGGAAGAACTGAAAAGTCACACTAGTGTGACCATCACATATTTCAAATTAAAAGATTATGGTTATTATTTGAAAATAAAAGAGTTCAGTCAGTTTTTATACAGAATTCACTGTAAGTATGTTTCATTAAGGGAATTTAAAGTAGCCTGAAATCTGAATCATGTTCTACAACTTCACTGTCTGCACCTTTGTTCAGTTCAAGTTATGAATACTGTTTTAAATTGTTTCATTATTAAAAGGCAAAACTGCAGTGAGCCTTTGTTTTGTCACAGCAATCATTCAGCCACAGTATATTTTACTGTGTGTGGCAGTTCGTTCTGATGTATAACAACAGCTATCAGTGTTCCTCAATATATGAATACAGAATATGAAAGTGAACTGATTTGTGCTGCTGAATGAATTCTGGGGTCTCTACAAAACATAACCTTCAGATTTGGTTCGCAGCTGGCAGCGCGCATAATAGAATTCAAAGCTCTGTGAGAGGGAGGTTTCAGACCAAAATGCACCTCAGGAGTCATTGTTTATTTCTCTCCTAATCTTTCTATTTACACGGGCTTGTATCTTTGACTTTTTATGAAAGACGTTAAGATTTTCTAACACAGTTGCTCTTTTTTTTTTTTTCTGTTGATTTATCCTGGAGAGAACCGTACCGATCCAAGTGTTTTTTGGTCTTGTGTTTTGTTTTTTTTTATGTTTTTTTTTTTCTTACTTTGTAAAGTAGAAAAACTGCTTGCAGCTCAGCATTTTATATTATCTGAACAAAACAAAAAAATGTTTTGAGTAGAACAGTCCTGCTGTTGTTTCCGATGTAAACAGGAGAGGGGCCACTGTTTTCTGTATTTCCCACAATGTGAACTGGGGACACAATTGGTTGAATGCGCAGCTTTTCTGTTGCTTGCCATGTTATTCTTTGGTGATACATGTTAAGCCACAAATAAGCAATTTCATCCAAAAAAAATCTATTCTAGTGTTTGCAGGTGTAATAATACTGTCAGCGCAATATCGGACCATTACTGAAATAGCACTGTGTGTGTGTGTGTGTGTGTGTGTGTGTGTGTGTGTGTGTGTGTGTGCGTGTGTAATATACTGTATACACTGACTTGCTCTGACCTGTGGAGGTGAAATCTGATCGTGAGGCGGTTGTTTTGTCCTAACTAGTCTCAACTATTTTGGCTTTCATCTTCCTTTAGAGAAAAGTCACATATGGGGTACCTGAAGTTTTAAAAGGAGAAGAAGATAGGCCTACATTCTACAGAGCCCTGGCCATGTGATCATCAAAGCAGACGCCTTTGTGGATAAAAATATCTATCGGAGATAAGGTATCAAGGAAGGATTAAGTTAGCAGGAAATACCAGTGAACCGACATCTAGCTTTCAGAGATAAATTGATCACTCTGACTCATTCAAATAGCTTGTAAAGGAACTTTGTGAGAGAGGATCAGAGCGGGCAGGTGGACACAAAAATACACGGCCCTCGATAACCATCTTCAAATGTTTCAGTATTTTCCTTTCGTAATATTTTTGGAGACACGCAATTTATAAAAAGCTTTCCTTTTATATTTGTTTCCATCCAGCCAGGGGAATTTGTCTTGATGTTCTGGTCTGATAGCAAGTAACAGCATTAAAAATACCCCCGCAGAATATCAATAACAGCATACAGCTTGACTTATGCATCAGGGAGAGCTGCACTACATCTAATCAATCAGAAACTGAACAAGTAATACCAGATCAATAATGGCTACAATTATATAAAGACATGCTGTTCTTGCACAGACACTGAAAATAAATTATTATCTTTTTTATCAATTAGGAAACTATTTTTGTTTTGTTTGAGAATATGTATAGTTGACATAATATGACTCTATGTTTACACACATTACTGATTCTCTGTTTGTTTTCTGATGATATACAATTAATTATACCTGAGGCCAGTGCCTTGAAGGAGTATCTTCAATACCTGACATGCATGTGCTTTGGTTTTGTCAGAAACTGGTGCACCCAGAGGAAACATGTAATCTTGACAAAAGGCCCCACATGTTCTTAAAATGCCTACAGACAGTAGAACATTTAATTCTCCTGAATAAGGATCCAACTGAACTTCACGGTCAGGTTAACCCTCTGGATGTGATCGGGGTTATCTTTATTCATTTTAAAAAATCTCCCCAACTATGGCCTATTAAAGTGCAATATTACTGTAAATAACTATGGAGCCTGTTTAAGATAAAACAATCACGCTTTGTGCTCTTGTATTTCCAGAAACCAAATCCCTGCCTCAGAAACAAATGAAGATCAGCTCATTTGTTTGTTTTAAACTAACATTCCTGCATTTGCAAAGCAATATTGATACATTTGCTTATGTTGTTAGAGAAAGACTATGTCAACAAAAAGCTTCAGCCAAAGTTCAGGTCCCGCTCAAGAGTCCCTCAGCAAGAATAAATAAAGAGGATCACAGTGCTGTAATTGAACCGGCACTCCGACCTCTCACTTTATTAAAATAACAGTTTATCTCTGATCCTCTAATGTTTTATACTCGTGACTGCCATATGAGTTAGGTTTAAATACCACACATGAAGGCTGTGATGCCTGGGACCAAGGTCAGGATCAATTCGAGAAGGGATCCAGTGGAGGTCACTGTTGCGTTAGAGCTCACTGAGCTGTCTGTGTCACTTCAGGGCAATTTCTCTCACCAACATAAACTGTGAATATCAGCTGACCTCAGACTAACCTTTGTGGTTCCAGATGTGAGTGTGTTTTGAGTGTGTGTGTGTGTGTGTGTGTGTGTGTGTGTGTGGTGGGTGGGTGTGTGTGTGGGTGTGTGTGTGTGATGAAAGCCGGGGATGTAGGCCTAACACACTGCAGAACATCTTCCACTATAGAAAGCACTGCAGCAACTCAACACCTCACACTGGGAGATGGGGGGCGAGAGAGAGAGAGAGAGAGAGAGGGGGGGGGGGGGGCGGGGTGAAAGAGGGAGGGTGGGACTTTTAGGGTAACAACACCCCCTCCCCTCTCTCTCTGATACTGTAATATTCAATTAGGTCCAGGCAGAGAGGCAGGCAGGCATCAGCACGGGGACAAGTTGACGGCAACAAGACGCAGTTCATTCATTGTTACAGCAGCAGGCACGCTCCGTGGAGCCGCCAGCACTCCTCCTGCAGCCCGGGCAGAGAGTTGCTTCACTTTCCGCCGCCTGTTTCTGAACTTTTCACGGCTGTAACACTATGGACCCGCTATGGACGGACACCGGCGCTCCGGTACGGCATGCAAATACGTACTCTGACGTCGGCGATCATGTGGCTTTTGGCGTAGATCCTCCTTGTGATCGCCAATTTTTTCTTTCCTGTCGCCTGTTGTCTGCTCGGCTATTGGACCGCCGCGAGAGTGTTTGAAGCACATTTGTCTCGTTTTTCGTCCGGCAGTCGCTTTGGGGATTGTACCGCAACCACCTGAGCATCGCGCCAAATCGGTGTGCAGGTAAGAAATGGATAAACTCTGGCTCTGTTTTTCCACACGGCTCGCCACGGCTCTCTCTCTATCTCCCCTCCTCCTCCTCCTTCAAAAGTCCCTCAAGTTAAAACTGCATGTTAGTTGTTTTTATGCGCCTGTCTGTCTTTCGCGCGGCTCCCAAACACCCACACGCCTCTGTATAAATATTTTAACTTGTCTAGCCGCATGAACTTTGCCTGCCCCGCCGTTTACACCTGCGTGCTCACACAAATGTGTCCGCCAACTTGTTTAATTGGACGTTTTCTCCCCCGCGTTTAAGTTTCACTTTGATATGTTGTGACCGTGGAGGGAGAAGGCAGAGGGGAGAAACATCGTGTCTACTTTTCCTCCTCCCCGTGTGTCGACATAACCAGCAAAACATGGCCGTCCTTTGCCGACATGTTGTTACGTCGATGGCGAGAGGGGGAACATTTGGGGAGAGTGTTTTTCTGCGCCCCTCTGTCACATCTCGGGTTGGCCGGTGGAAACCGCCGTTAAACTCCTCACCGCCGCCGGTGTACCCGCTCACATTCAGCGGGACTCAGGTTTGAGGAGCAACTTTTTTCCCCCGACGTTGTTTATACACTTTGATTTGCGCGACTCTGTGATGTAGGCGTAACGTTACCCCTGGTGATGCCTCCTCCCCTCCGAGATCACGGCTCTTCCACTGCATACAGACACAGCACTGTAGCACAGGAGCTGACTTATATTCGTTGCTGTAGGCCTGTAAGTGCTGTGAAAAAAAATAAAAATAAAAAAGAAGTCAGGCGTGGTTGCTCTTATTCAGAATATTAACTTTAGTTATAAACCCAGTGCTCTCGGACAGTAAAGCAGTCTGTGCCAGTCAACACACTGTGCTGTAAACAGGGGGGGGGGGGGTGTCCCCAGTTCACCCAGTGAGACATTTTGGAGGGATAGTGGTTGTTTGATTTATGTCATTGTGTTGCTTGTTGTCCTGCACTGCACAAGATATGAGGAAGACACACAAACACACAGTATGGGGATCAAACATGGCACATGCTGTAGTTATAAACAGTCAGATACTCCAGTGCCATAGTTCAAACAGCTCGGCTTAAAATGTAGTAAAACGTATCTCCAAACCATTTTTTCCATAATTGCGTCATATAACAATAAATCTCATACAACACTGGTATACTGGTGTCATATAGGTTAATTATTGTGAGACCATGCCATAAAGTTACTTTAAAGTCACTCTCAACTCACTAACTTTACCATAAGCTGGGAGCTGCATGTTTCCATCAGACCAGAGTGCATTAGATTCAAGCCTTACATAATTTGTCTTATTGATTTTTGGACCTATGACGTAATTTGGGCATCGTATCTACAGTAGTACTAAACACTATCAATACCCTGGATGGATATCGGTGCTGATGCTGAGCTTTTTAAACTCTTTGGCATCAGCCATGACTTTACTGATCCGCATAAAAGACATTTGACATTTGTCAAGACATTTGTGTTGATTGGTATGAGATGAGTACGTGGTATTGATGCCCTAAGTTGAGGTATTACGAGATTCTCTTCTGTATTGTGATGTGACATAATACTGGTTTGATATGAGTCACCACGAGTATTGGTGATGATGTTGTTAATAATAAATGATGAGTAAGGGGGAAAAAATGAACACTTGACTATGACATTTCCAAGACTGGAGACAATCAGGCACAGTAACACCAGCTGGCTCCCAGTGCCAGTTACATTCAGTTATGGACACTGAGAGCACGTAGGTTGAGATTAAAGCAGCATTTCATATCTCGCATATATGACTGGTTATGATAAACAGTCCTTGACGCAGTTTTTACTGTGCTGTAATTCCACGCACCTGTTAGCCAGTGTTCCCTCTCAGACCTCTGACAGGTCTACAAACTGGGCCAATTAATTGAAAGGCATTTAGACTGTTCTGTATACTTCTTTGCCGAGTAAAGCTGTCATGTCATAGTCTGTGTTCACATTCTTAGTGTGCGTCTGAAAAAATATCTTGTTCATTAGACAATATTCCCTTCACACTGGCATGACCTGTTACGTTGTATTTCTAAACATTCCTTGATCTACAGCGGAGCCCAATCCGTAGAAGATGTAAGTGAGTTTGATCACAGTGCATTTAACCCCCCCCCGTCATACCCGTTACCAGTGATTCCTCTGGGTATAAACTTGGCTTCGCTCACTAAGCCATGCACTCTTGCTCTTTCCATGTGAATAAAAATGTGGCTCATGTTTGTTCTTCTCATGGGTTCCACTTGTGATCTGCCAAATCACAGATAATGTTATATAATTTGGAATGACAACCGGCTCATTTTTATTGGTGGCTGAACAATCAAAGCGCTTCTGTTGATAAAAGTAATTTTCAAATCACACACAGACAGTTGCTTAGCGTATTGTGTAGCCAAGCTTTCCTGCAGATCAACGCAAGGGAATACAACCGGAAATATGTGTTAGTAAAGTCTAAGAAATGAATAACACACTTAAATAAAAATGAGACCTGTTTTACCAAGTCAGTGCACTAGAAAAAAGGGGTGAATATAAAGGATGACAATTTAAAATCCCTATTGTTGTTCAGTGTTACGTATATAGGACATTACGGAATTGTTTTTACAGTTTGACAGATGCAAGATTAAGTCTGTTTGAATATTTTTTGGGGGGGAAATTGTTATTCTCAGTATTACTCAAGGGATTAGAGAAATGCACAGATGTCACAGACCTATCTTGTTGTCCATAACATCAGTGATTGTCCCATCATCACGACACTCTGGCGGCAGTAGGGAGACAGAGAGCGTCTTCGTAAAGAGGGATTTTATGCACACCCGGAAAAAATCATTTGGTTTATTTACAGCGAGGAGTTTGGCAGCTATTATTTTTGAGGAGTGGCATAAAAAAATAAATCTACCCTCATTGAATTGCCTATTTTTCCAGTCGTACCCAACCATGCGGCGTTCCTCAATGTACTGTGACCTCATAGAATGTCACAGTCAAAACATCCAGCTGTGAAGTGATCCGCTCTATTTGTTCCTAGAGGTGTTTATTCGTTTACTGTAGTCAGATGGTGGAAAATGAAAAAGACTCAGTCTGTCTCATTCATTTAAATAGAAACCATTGGTATGCTCTTGACGGTGAAGAAAGTGTAGTGTAGTCAAATATCATTTGTATAGATGATTTGTGAGATCTAATTGTTGACAGTCATCATGCCACCAGATGTTGCATGCGCCAGTTATAATAGGAAGAGCAGTTACAGATTGCTAACTGAAAATAACCCTTGAGCAGGAGATTGACAGTAAAACACACACACACACACACACACACACACACACACACACACACACACACACACACACACACTATTATGTTTGTTGTTGAGTTAAAGTGGTGACAGGTAGTCCTGTCCTGTCAACCTCAGATTTAGTTCATCTGTGTCGAACCAGACCAGTTTTCTATAGTTCACATTTAGTGATAAGTGAAAATGCATGCTATGTAGTTTTCCATGCATGGTAATAATGATAAACCGCTAGTAAGTCACAATATCAGATATCATTTAAATTGATCCTGTTGACAGCTCTCAGTCTCCCCTGTAGCTGCTGAGCTAACGTTACCTTAGCTAACATTACAGTTTCACTGACTGACAGGACAAGCTGCTGCTCAGCTCTGACTGTCATACGAATATCAATGTGACATTAAACTGTACAGTTGTCCGATTATTGTTTTCTGTCTGCACTGACCAGCAGCTATCTAGCTAGAAAATGATGTGCGCTAACAGCTACTGGCTTGCCATGCAGGCCTACCGGACAACAAAAAAAAATAAATGTTCATACAGCTTTCAAAATCTGGAGCACGCGAGCAGAATTGATCTTGCTTGTAGGTTGTAGTGATGGGACATTTAATGATTTACAGGAGTCAGTGTTGCTGTGGCATGTTCTTGCTCAAACCCTGGCTGATGATAATGGGTTTGTGGATTTGTATAGCAGTATACTGCAGTGAACCAGAAGCCTGTGTGCCTTTTCTTTAACTTTCACTACTTGTTTAGGCATTGCTGACAAATACAGTATGCTGCATGTAAGCTAAGACAAACACAGAACTATAGAACCAATAAATGGATGCTTTTGACTTCACACCTATTTATTCCATGATATGTGGATGTTATTTTTAGAGTCGTGCTAGCTGACCTGTGTTGGGTTTCAACACGTTTTTGTTTTTCACATTCATCAGGAACGCCCAGCATTTCCTGACTGCACATCACACTTCCACATCCAATCCCGAGCTGTATAATGACTGTCCATTCTCTTGGTGAAACACTGGAATGAGTCATCATGGGTTAGAGGACGGAGGTTGTTGTCATCACGGCCTGTCGTGCTCAGCTTGGCTCTGTGATGAGATCATCAACATCTATGTTGTGCTTTGTTCCAGTGTTTTTCAGTTCAAGTCATCTCGCTGTGCCTCCGCCGGCTCCTCAGACATGTTGTTAGGTGACTAAGGCAACCACAGAGATGAGCTCATCACCTGTAGGTGGGGCTGAGAGGGAGATCGTGATGGAAGGAAGGAGACAATTAGAGAGGCAGAGCTGAAGAGTTACGTGAGGACAGAAGGAGAGGGAGCATGAAATCAACACTGTATGAGAGTGTGTGTACGTGTGATGTCTGAGAGAGACAGAGTGATACATGGGAAGAGACAATTGAGTGACACTGCACAGGAGAGGAGTGAAAAGCCAACAGAGACTAAAGCCCCACATGCACCTTAACCTGTAAAAAGCGGTTTTCTATGTTGGTGTCAAGTCAGTTTTTGGTGTAAAACGCAGTGATTTGCTAGCTATTTCCAGGTAAAGCACACAAAAAGCCACAGAGCTCATACATGTGATGGTTTTATGTGTCCATTAAGGCAATCCCCTTCTCTGGTATGCCACTGGAGGTCATGTCCCCAGTCTGTGTCCTTGAAAACCTTAACAAAAAAATAAATTACAGTAGAGTATAAAGAACTGATGGTAC